ATATATATATATATATATATATCAAAAGTAATTCACTGAGGAAAAAGCATAATCTGTTTTCACTTTTGGTGGACAGCTAGCTATACTGGGGAAAATCCTCATAGCACATGTAATACAGCAAAAATACCTTACAGAAAACATAACATTGAAGATACAAAAGCAGGAGGAGAGATCAAAGCCAGTTCCCTGCACATATCAAGTAAATGTCCTGCACTGAGCTACAACCCTAAACCTAAAGTATAAAAACTTTTATAGGGAGAGATTTCTTAGTTACAATAACACTAAAAGCTAAATGCATGAAAGAACAAACCGATATATTGGATTTCATTAAAACTTATTTTACTTTTCAAAAGATATCCACTGAAATATGTGTTCACACACATACATATGTATTCAGAAGTCTTAAAAATTCAAATACAGTAAGAAAAATGTTTATTTTCTGAAAAAAATGTTGAATCTCACTTATGCTACCTCATTCTACGTTGCTCTAACAACATATTTTAGGTCAGTTACAAAGGAAAGAAGTTTTATTTCGTTCATGATTTTGCTAGGTAGAGAGGTAGCTGCAGAACCCTAGTGATAGATCTGCCAGCTGCGTCACAGACAAGCTGAAAGGAAGATGTAGAAGACTAGGCACATGAAGTAGGCATGATTTATTACAACCCACTCCCTTTAGAATTGTCTGAACCTCATACTCAAAACAAACTAATGCTGCACACTACATGATGTACTTACCTATCACTAGGCTCTATGCATACTAGGCAATCGCTCTTCCTACTGTTGTGCTAAACCCCTAGCCCCACATCTGATTTTACAGATAAACATGATTGTCACACATATGATTTCTGGAAAAATGACTGCAGTCTGATGTCTTGGATTCATGCGTTCCATCAAATGCACATCAAATACCCACTTACTTGGTATCATGGAGTTAGTCCTTGCTTTTATGGAGCATTCATAAAAGGGTGGCAGAGTGACAAAGCTAACCATCAAACAAATACAATTATTACTGGGCGCTGGTGGCTCATGTTCGGTGTCCAGTGAGCAGCAGTGTTGCATTTGTTCACCCCTTGTCCCTCCATTTCTGTGCCATCCCCATATACTCCCAAGGACTTCTAAACAAACAAACAACATAAAGGAAACAAAAGCAGCTAAAAAGAAAAAAAAGCCCTCCATTTCTGGAGTTCATTTTGATAAAATATTATTTTGTATGATCAGATGCACACAAGCACTGTTGACCTCCTTACCATTCTTTCTGCAACACTTATCTTCAAAGTGTTACAAGCCTGTTTATTGTGTTTCTGTCTGTCTCTCCTTGCTAGCATATGCACTACAGCAAGGAATGATTTTTTTCCCCACTTTTGTATCCTAAGAATCTCTAGAACAGTCTCTAGCCTCTAGCAGAACATGTATGTTCAACAAACATAAAATGAAATCACTTGATTGTAATATTTAACAAAGGTCAAAATATTATAAAGGAATTACATGTTACAATAACATTTGAATATAATATAAACTATTGACATAACATTTTAAAATATTAAACCAGAAACCACTACGATCTTCCTTAACATGAAGAGTGTGCTTTCCTGCAATTCTCAATAGGTCCATGAGATCCTGTACAATGATCTCTAGATGCTAAGCTTCAGGATGTATACATCAATGGTTCTGCACAGCACTATTAGCCGCTGGTTAGCATTTTTTTAAATGACTCTGCTCTTGCCTCCCAGTTATGCTGGCTGTTACATCACTTGTAATTCCTTTATAATTTCTCCCTTCTAACGTATAATGATCAACGGTGCATCTTTCTAATTGTGTAAAAACATCTAAACTATCTTAATGCAAGGTTATATTTAAGAACCACAAAAAAAATCTCTATGAAAAATCATCTTGTCATTCATACCTGACATAAAGTAAGTGATGTGTAGTTCCTTATATCAGTGGTTTCGTCAAGCTGGATTAAAAAATTTATACTAGACTACAGCTAAATAATAAGCAGTGTTTCTAAATAGTACAAATAGTACATTGTTTCTGCAACAGTACAGATTCGAAGGTATGTGTTGCCACTAGGTATAGTTTTTAATGCATTGGCTGTCTTAGGATCAGAAATTGTTCACCATATTTAAACATCCTGGAAGAATACATTTTCAGCAGCTGTGGGGGATACTTTTTCCTTTTGCTACATGATCTTCATTTAAATATGCCAGTAAAGATTTCTCAATAATCATAGAAAAACAACTAAAACCTGTGTTGAAAATTTTTCTCAAGATGCTTACCAGTAAGTTCAGCATGCTGAATTTCTAAAGTACCTTTAAAAAGTTAAAACTTTAGAGGTTTTAAGGCTTCATGTGCAACAATATTATTACAAAAAACATATTCAGGCCTGTCATTTTTCAAACTGTTTTTCACATTTGATAAAACTGTATCTTAAATAATCCTTATTATAATGTCTTGTACTTAATTTTTTTTCTGTTTTTTGTCGGTCGTGGGGCTTGAACTCTGGGCCTGGGCGCTGTCCCTCAGCTCTTCAGCTCAAGGCGAACGCTCTACCACTTGAGCTACAGCACCACTTCCGGTTTTTTGGTGGTTTTTTGGAGATAGGAGTCTCATGGTCTTTCCTGCCCAGGCTAGCTTTGAACCACAATCCTCAGATCTCAGCCTCCTGAGTAGCTAGGATTACAGGCGTGAACCACCAGCGCCCGGCTTACTTTTTTCTTTTTAAAATGTGATTCAAATGAAGTTGAAGTTGGAAGATTAGTGTTAATCTTTTCTTAAAAATGGCAGATCCAAGCGCTGAACCTAAACCTGTTTCTGTGTGCTTCATTATTCCTTTTAATACTCAGGAGGCTGAGATCTGAGGATTGCAGTTTGAAGCCAACCTGGGCAGGAAAATCTGTGTGACTCTTATCTCCAATTAATTATAGAAAAGGCTGCAAGTGGCACTGTGGCTCAAGTGGTAGAGTGCTAACCTTGAGCAAAAGGAGCTTAGGGACATCAAGCCCCAGGACCAGCAAAAAAGGAAGGAAGGAAGGAAGAGAGGGAGGGAGGGAGGGAGGGAATGATCCACCAGGCACTTATGGCTCATAACTGTAATCCTAGCTATTCAGGAGGCTGAGATCTGCAAATTGCAATTCAAAGCCAGCTGGGGCAGGAAAGTCCATGAGATTCTTCCAATTAATCACCAGAAAACCAGAAGTGGTGTTGGCACTGTGGCTTAAAGTGGTAGAGCTCTATCCTTGAGCAAAAGAGCTCAGAGAGAGCGCCTAGGCCCTGAATTCAAGCCCATGACTGTCCAAAAAAAAATCCAATTTTAAAATAATTTGTCTATTTAATTAAAATGTAATAATTGCTAACTCAAAAATTAAGAGTCTAAATGTTACAAAAATGTACTCAGCATGTGTAACAGAATCTCATTGAATATCTCAAGACCTTACATCTAGTTGCAAGTCACAATATAAAACTAGAGTACTGGGGCTGGGATGGTGGCTCAGTGGTAGAGTGCTTGCCTTGCATGCATGAGGCCCTGGGTTTGATTCCTCAGCACCACATAAGCAAAAAGAAAAAAGCCGGAAGTGGCGCTGTGGCTCAAGTGTAGAGCGCTAGCCTTGAGCTGAAGAGCTGAGGGACAGCGCCCAGGCCTAGAGTTCAGGCCCCATGACCGGACCAAAAAAAAAACAAAAACAAGAGTACACAAACCCTTGCTGTTGTGAAAAGCAAATGACACACTAGTAAATGAATGAAAACCATTTCTCAGCCAGTAAACATTGTATTCATCATATACTTTCCATTAGAGATACCTTTCTAGGATACTGAAATTTACCTATATTTTCTGAAAATGCATAAAATTCAGGGAAGCATCAATGCAAAGCATTTTGATATCTTTTATTTTGCTTTCAAATAAAGTTCATTATGACGTACAGAACAAAGTAAATGACTCACAAATGGGTCACACACAAACTGTGAAAAACACAAAGGACATCTTATGCCTGGTTGTTTTAGCAGCTTGAGTATGCTTACTTGAGAAAAAGTTTCTGATCTACTAGATTATTCTTGACTGGTATAGAAACTTCTTCAAGTAGCAGAACTACATCTTAGATTTTCAGCCCTTCTACTCCGCAGTGGGAAAAATGTTAAAAGAGTGTCAATTACGGTTGGATCTAGTGAGGATCCAATGCGGTTTTTTTTTTTTCCCTATGGTCAGGTGAACTAACAGGTTGGAGCTGATTATTTTTGTAGAGCTTTCTTGGAATGCATTCTTGATCTGGGAAAAAGATCAGAGCCTTGGCATTAAAATATCACTATACAGAATAGTATTATTGCCAGCTATAGGACCCTTTATGACACCTAAAATTGTAGGTGGTGAAGCAAAAAAACCTATAGCTCTTCTCAGCACTTTTTATATGGATGCAGACCTATTCCTGTAAGACAAATGATGTCAGTAAATCCTGGAAGTCAGCACAGAAGCTGCAAAGCACATCAGCAAGCCAAAGAAGATAGCAAGTATTGTAGTATATCTCATTCACACATCTATTTCCTAAGCTTGGTTATGCATATTTTAATCACGCAGATTTTGGAAGTTCTTATTGCATTGCTCTATTCACTATTAGTTTATTTGGGTCTTATCATTACAATACAGCAGTCTCAACCCTTGTTTTGTTTTTATGAGGAGGCAGTTATTTATTAGAAGTTTAACATTTCTTAACTTTTTCTTTTATTAGGGCTATTAATAGTACCTGTATTTTCCTATTTCCTGTTATCTTGATGCTCTGGCATCTGGGTGGGAATTCATGAATATGGGGGAGTACTGTCCTGGTACTGTTGACTAATTCCTATGCTTATAACCAATTCAGAGCTTTCTCCTACCTACCTACCTACCTTTGAGAACTACTTTTCTGGCCTGGATTTCCTTGATCAAATAACCCTAGAATCAGGGAACAGGCAAGTAGGAATAATCTCTGTGCCCCCAAATCAGCTAGAAGTACTTAGCTAATCTGAAGTGTGCATATACTTGATCTTTTTCTCATTCTTCCTCAAGAAAATTAAGCATTTTCTTTAGGTTCTCATTTGTGGTTTCTCTGTATATTTACTAGCTCTGGTGTTTCCTGGTATGGTATCCAAACATGTATAAGGTGCTTCCAGTTTCTAGGGATCTGTGAGTATAGAAACTTCCTGCAGCACAGTCACTTTCAGGACTGAGTATCTTACCCATCTGACTGATACAAATCCTAGGTCCATGTTTAAATGTGTTATCATTTCATGTTATTGCTTTGGTTACAAAATTTGGCCCGGATTCTCATTACACATTATGAATTGTTATTTTTTTAAGCATGATTACAACACATCTTGAGTGTTACAAAGTTACCTATGTTTAAAGATCTAATTTTAAAATTGGCTACATTGGAGAAAACAGAAACAAACCTGTAACACACATGTACATGAAGACTTGTCAGCTGTCCATTCCATTCAGTTCCCCACGAGCCTCTTGCCCATGGTTACCATGCCCAGCCCCTTTATGCTTTACTTTTAAATCATATGTACAGGACTGTTTTGCATACTTTTAAAAATCTGTCATTTGTATATCCTTGCATTTAGTTTTACTTAATGTCCTTTTTTAAGATCTGTCAGCGTTACTAGCTTAGTTCATTCATCCTAAATACTGAACAGAGATATTCTCCCATATTAACATGTTATCAATTTCCTATTTTATCCCTGGTCCCCAACACTCTATTAATGTAACTGTTCATTGAATGGATGAATGTTAATGCTGTATCATTTGAGCTAAAACCTGACGGCGATTTCAACTGGTTAAAAAGGCAGGAAAAAGGGGCTGGGAAGGTGGCTCAGTGGTAGAGCGCTTGCCTTGCATGCCTGAGGCCCTGGGTTCGATTCCTCAGCACCACATAAGCAAAAAGAAAAAAGCCGGAAGTGGCGCTGTGGCTCAAGTGGTAGAGTGCTAGCCTTGAGCTGAAGAGCTGAGGGACAGCGCCCAGGCCCAGAGTTCAGGCCCCACGACCGGACCCCCCCCCCCAAAAAAAAGGCAGGAAAAAGACCAGGCATGGTGGTGCACACCTATGGAAAATCCCAGTTCCCACAGGAGGCTGCAGCAGAAGAGAGGCCAGTATTGAGGCCGTGGGTGACAGAGAAGCCCAAGCTCACCTAGAAGGGGGCGGGGGTGGAGAGGACGCAAGGATGAAGAGAAAAGGAATAGAAGGAACTACACTGGTCAGAACAAAAAGAGACGCGCAGGCGCAGAACACGGAGGACTCCGCCGCTGTGTTACCGTTTATTACAGCTCACAGTTTCTCTAATACAGCCGGTGTCTTCCCGAAGGCCCTGCAAACCCCTCGCACCCGCACCAACCGAGACTTGCCGCCATCTCGGCCCCGGCCCCGCGGCCCCGTGCGGCCGCCACGGCACGTCGCAGCCTTGAGCGAGGCAGCTCGCGGGCCGCCGTCTTCCCAGGCCCTCCGTCCCACAGAGCCTCCCTTCGGAGGCTGCCTTGCTTCCTCCTCACCGCCCGCTCGGTCTCACGGCCTCGCCAGCACCCGAGGCCCGTCTCGATCGCGCACCTGCAGCTCAATTCGCGCCACTTCCGGTCTCACCGGAGAATTCCCACATCCAGCCGGAAATGGGCTGGAGCGGACCTCTACGCAGGCGCGTAGCCAAAGGCGGCGACGCGGGTTTGCTTCCCTTCCTCCCTGCCCCGCTTTGCTTTCGCCACGTTCTCGCGGTATTTCCTCTTCCCCGCGAGAGTTATTTGAAAGCTCTGGCGGTAACCCCGCCCAGGACGCGCAGGAGCGAGGCCCTGGGGGGCGGGGTCAGCAGCGCCGACACTGTTTACGTTGTTGCCATGGGAGCGGAGCAGCGGCTTTGGGTGCTTGATGGTTTTTCAGGCCTTGCACCACAGAAGCTGGAGAATCTTCTGGTGTCCTTGAGCCACACCGATGGCCAGGTAAACGCGGGCCGCCCCGCAGCGTCCGGCCTTGACACCCCTCGTTTAAACCCCAAGTGGGTGTACTTTGATAGTATTTGTACACAAAATGTACAATGTTGGCATCCCGTCTTCCCTTGTTGAGAGTTCTAGCTTGTATTTCATAATCATAGGACTCGCTTGACACAATGCCTCTTTAGCAGTTCACTGATGAAAGAAAAAATGTGTGTGTGTCCTGGGGTTTGAACCCAGGGCCTCTGCGCTATCCCTCATCTTTTGTGCTCAAGACTAGTGCTGTACCACTTGAGCCACAGCTCCACTTCCAGCTTTTTGGTGCTTAACTGCAGAAAAGAGTGGCTTGGACTTTCCTAGCTAGCAGAAGTAACCCTCAGATCTCAGCCCACTGAGTAGCTAGGATTACAGGTGCACGCCACCAGCACTGGGAGCAATAGCGGTTCCTTGGTTTTTAAATAAATATGCAATTTTATTAAATAGATATAGGTTCCATTATTATATGTGTATGTATAATGTATCTCTGCCCTGTAATAACTTTAAGGAACATATTTGTTGATTATTAACTGGTAAGAATGAAAATAAGTGCATCTTTTTATTCCAAGCCAAACATTTTTTGGGTTGATATAGTTGTATAAATTGATTTGTTTTAAAAGTGCAATACAGAAGTTTGATTTTCAACTCCGAGACTTTATATGACTTTGTCAACATTTCCTTTTTTGAGGTTGCTGATTTCATTACTTGAGAAATTGATTACACAGATTTTTTTTTCAAATGCTTCTCTTGAATTCAAACTGTGATGATCAATCTTCAGATCTCAGCCTCCTGAGTGGCTAGGATTACGGGTATAGATATGAACCACCTATGCCCGAGCAAGGTGCATAGTTTTGCTTTTCAATTTGCATATTATTACATAAATAGAAAAGGAGTACATCTAAGTGTTTATATCACACGCACACTGATTAAAGATGTATTATGTCCAAGGCAGCTCTCTGACACAGATGTCCTATAACTCAAATCCATTTTGATACTAATTACTCAGAACATACAACCCTCAGGTTAAGGTATTGGTGGTCCAGTCCCCCAAGACTGCCCCTTCCCCTTCATCAGATGCTAGCCACAACTCTCAGGTATCTCCAAGATTCTGGCATTGTGTCTAACTGACTTTAGATGCAGGAGTTTCCTATTATTATACCCCCCCTTCTCCCCATTCAAGTTTGACAACTTTGATAGAATGGCTTATAGAACTCAAGAAAGTGCTATATTTGCTATTAGGGTTTTAATATAAAGGATGTGACTTTGGGAATAACCAAATGGAAAAGTGTGGAAAACAAGGTGAGAAGTGTTTTTGTGTCTCATGTGCCTAATTCCCTTCCAACAGATCTACATGTTCACTAGACAGGAAGCTCCTTAAGCCTGGTTTAAGTTTCTATATGGGTGTTCACTGGCAATGTTTGATTAATCATTGGCCACTTGTTTGAATTCTGCCTTCAGCCTCTTCTGGTATCAGAGATGGGAAATGGACTGAAAGTTCTAGCCATATATACATCTTGTTTCATTTCCTGGTGCGCAGCCTCCATCCTGGAACTACAGAGGGTTTCTCTCTACCCTCCACTTCCAGTGTGTCACCTTATTAGCATAAATTCATGATTAAAAGGGACATACTATAAAATTACAAAAGATATTCCTATCACTTGGAGAATTCCAAGGTCTTAAAGAATTTTTGAACCCAGGACAAAGATCAAATACATTTTTATTATACCTCATAAAAGTATGGTAAAATGAAAGTTCATCCAAAACTTAAAAAAAAAGGACATGAAGGTAGTTTTTAATACCTCATGTGTCCCTTTCTGAATGGACAGTTTCCTAGAAGAAAGTGCTTTCCCGAGAGGATACTATTATCTGGAGCTTTGTTATACTTTCTTTCTTTTTTTTAAGGATTTATAATAGTCTCTATAAAAAGTACAGTGTAATACCTTAATACACACAGGTTCTAGTGCTAAACTACCTGCTGTTTGAATGTTGACTGTTGTTTATAAATGAAATATAGCCTTGAGCAAGTTATAGGATCTTCCAGTTCAGATTTTTCATTTGTAAAATGTAGAAAATATTCTGCCTATTTCATATAGTCATTCTGTAAACAAAATTTCATGTTCCAAAGCCCTAGATAGTGCCTTACACTTGGATTTATTTGCTGTATTTCTTCTAACAAAGGCCAACTACATGAACAGTGGCAAGTCATTGAGAAGCCTGGTGTGGTGGTATCTGTTGAAGTAGGATCACTTGAGCCAGAAGTTCAAGTCAAGTTGGGAAAGCAGTAGATCCTGGCTTTAAAAAAAAATGTAGTGAAATGAGAAAAAATGAAGACTTCAGAAACTCAGAGACTAGAAGCCTGATGCTCAAGCCTATAATCCTGGCTACTCAGGAGACTGAGATCTGGAGACTACAGTTCAAAGCCAGCCCAGGCAGGAAAATGAAAGTCTATGAGACTCATTTCCAAAAACCAACTGGGAAAAAAAGCCAGAACTGGAGTTGTGGCTCAAGAAGTAGAGAACTAGCTTTGAGCAAAAGAAGCTCAGGGACAGACAGTACCCAGGCCCTGAATTCAAGCCCCAAGACCAGCACATACACACAAAAAAGGAAAACTCAGAGGTTAAAGAGATTAGTGAGTAGGGTGCCCGTGGCTCATGCCTGTAATCCTAGCTACTCAGGAGGCTGAGATCTGAGGATCACGGTTCAAAGCCAGCCCGGGCAGGAAAGACTGAAACTCTTATCTCCAATAAACCATCAGAAAACCAAAAGTGGTGCCATAGCTCAAGTGGTAGAGTGCTCGCCTTGAGCTGAAGAGCTGAGGGACAGCGCTCAGGCCCAGAGTTCAGGCCCCACAACCAACAACAAAAAAAAGAGATAGAGAGAAATTAGTGAGTTCACTGTTGGATATAATAAATTTATAGTTTCTGGTACATGATAGTTACCTAGTGTTTGTTGAATAATAACCGAAATAAGTGCAATTTTCTTTTTGTAAGCACTTGAAAAAAAAAAATCAGGTGCCAGACACAGTTGCCAGACACAGTTTACCTTTACCTATGAATTCTTTGCCCATGTAATGTCTGTGGGTTTGGTAGTATAGTGAACATGTTTGTGATTTAACAACACTAGAAAGGGGTTTGTTCTAAGGATGAAAAAGAGGTTCTGATTTTATGCTGGTAGTGAAAACATAAGTTGAGTGAATGCTGAGGCTCTGGTTTCAAACCCGGTTTTGTGTGTGTGTGTGTGTGTGTGTGTGTGTGTGTGTGTGTGCTGTTTCTACCAGATCCTTAAATTAAACAACTTTTTAATAGTTTAACTAACCCTTAAAAGAAATTAGCAGGCCATGCACTGGTGGCTCATGCCTGTAATCCTAGCTACTCAGGAGACTGAGCTCTGAGGATTGAGCATCTAAACTAATCTGTGTAGGAAACTCCTTGAGACTTTTAGCTCTAACTAACCAGTTAGTGGCACTGTGGAGCAAAGTGGTAGAGCACTGGCCTTGAGCTAGAGAGCTCAGGGACAGCGCCCAAACCCTGACTTCAAGCCCCATGAGCAACAACAACAACAAAACAACAAAAATTAGCAGGTCCTATTGAGTCTACAAGGTGAGCAATGAATAAATAAGAAATAGTTGTGAAATTTACTAAATGTAAATGTCTAATTTAGGTCAGCTTTAGAATGAACTAAAAGGAATTCTATGATTCATAAGGAAGCACTGATCAACACATGTTTAATCTTGCCAGTCTCTTACTGAACATTTCTAGGGAAAGGAATCTCTTCCTTTTTGTATGGCACAATTCTTCTATGTCCTTCCTCTTTAGCATTAAGGGTGTTCTATACTGGATGTCAGCCATCACTAGCTGTCAACCCTGTTTTACAGATTAGAGAACCAAAGACTACAGAGGTTTGAGCCAGTGTGTTGTCTTCTTACAAAACAATCCCATCTTATTTTTTTACTTTCCATTTAAAACGAATCTGACCATGTAGCCTTGGCTGGGTACCTCATCAGTGGAAGGGGAATGGATAGCAGAGTTGGAGGCAGAGTAATGCAATTTCAGAATTCTTAGGTCCGTGCTTGCACTCAGCTAAATTCATCATTACAGATGTGAACTAGGAAGAGGTAACAAACTACAGTATGGACAAGTGCATAAAACCTCAACCAGAGATCCCAAATGACAGTAGCGTATGAACTCGCCCTAGCTGTATTTCTTAATGTGTGCTCTTAGGAGGTCTGCATCATGATTGCATCAGGTGCTTTAGAGATGAAATAGCCAGGACCCACACTGTGTATTCTAGGCAAGGACTACCATTTAGATGTGTTGATTTCTATGCAAGTAAAGTTTGAGAGGGGTTGGAGGTGTGGCTCAGTAGGTAGAGTGCCAGACAATGAGGGAAAGCATCAAGTATCAGGTTCAAGTCCCAGTCTCAGACCTAAAAAACAAACAAAAGAAAGAAATAAAGTTTGAGAAATACTATGTTTTAATGATTAAAACCTTTCCAAACTTGAAGTGAACTAACAACCCATGAAAGTTATAATAGCATATGCAAAACACAAAGACACGATAAAGTAATTGTTGTTTATATAACTGGGATGCTTTGTACTCTGATTTGATGGTGTCTTTTTTTTTTATGTAAGAGGTAAGGAGGAAGGAAGCACAGCAGATATTTCCCTGAACACTTTCTTCTCTCTTTGGATGTAATTAAGCAATCGCTTGCCAGATTTCATCATTACAATGAATGTAAACCTGACTGTTTACCAGAAGCATATCATTCTTTTTCTTCCTGAAACTTGTGCTGCTTTCCCTTACTATGTGGTACAAAAAGCTGAGTCAAGTTGTCTTTGAAACTAGCCATCTTTCCCTGAGGCTATATACACTGCACCTAGTAAGCCAGCCCATAACAGAGTCTTTATTTTATTGGAAGCCAAGAGTTGGTGTTAACTTGGCTATATTTATTAAGAACAAGACAGGTGGAGGATGGGACTGTTACTCATGGCAGAACACTTGTCTAGCATATACAAGGACCTAGTTCAACC